AGAGCGAGAGCGAGAGAGGGAGAGAGCGAGGAGACCGAATTGTCTTGGGGCATGGGCTGAGATTGACCACGCCTGTTCGTTTCGCTGAACACATGTGAAATTGCATGTTTGCACATCTCTTTCATAAAGTTCTGTTTGTGGGAGCAAGGATGCAGGGGCGCACATCATCAACGGAACCCCCCGTGACTTGCACACCTTTCTGACCTGGACTGTTGCAACAATCTGACTGGCAAGCTCGGTCAAGGCAACTGTCGGCTGTAGTCTACGAGTCGGAGCACGGTGAACCCTATTCAGCAGGGTACCAGCGATGACGCCCAATTCAGTCTGCGGTTGCGATTCTCAGTTGCCAATAGCCAAGATCACCCCGCGTGCACGGCAAAAAAGACGAGTGTGTGAGAACGAGTCCCGGCTTTTCATGCTTGGATTGTCCGTGAGACTCCGGACGCTTTATGACGTTCAAGGTGCGTGGACAACTCTCCAAGGCTCCCACAGCGAAACCAGGCTCTCAGCCACTTGGGCAAGAAACACCCATTGGGTCCTGGGCTCTTGTGGGGACAATTGAGGCAAATCTTATGCACAGGGCGAACGAACTCTGCAAGGCATTTTGTTGGCGCAACGCGGCCGAGCCTGTTGCTTCCATGCCAAAAGCGCGCGCAACAGAGCAACTGAGCAACCCTACGACTCCAAGAGGACCTAAGAGGGTGAGTAGCAAGTAGACCTCAAACGAGAAGATTGTGGCAGTGCTCCAGTAGCTATGCGCGAACACATGGCCTTTGGCGTGTGGTATGTCGCTTTCTGAAACACCGATAATCGGAGTTTCTTTCAAAATATCGAGTCGTCAACCTCCGGCATGGAGCTCCTCCCCCGCATCACTTGCCGGCTGGCCGATCGGAAATGGAGCTCAAGCGAGACTGCCAGCTCACCAACGGACTATTGCCAAGTGCGCTGACGCTCAAAAATTCCCAACCGTTCATCATGAGGCTGCAAATTGCTTCTAGCCCAGTAGTGGTCGCATAGGAGGCAATCAACCAATACAGGGCTCGATGCTGACCACTAAGCGCCAGAAGACAGCCATCGGGTTAGTGCTGCCCCTCGTACGAAGGTTTGCTCCGATTGGAAGCCGCACAAACACCTCGGGCAGAAAGGCGAGAAAGAAAGCCTGGTTATTGCAGACGAAGTCTTGGCATTCTCTCCATTCCACCCGAGGATTCGTGTCTAAAGACCTGAACCGGCAAGCATGCCGCCCAAGAAAGGAGGACGCACTACGACTTGATAATGCTTCTCGCTTAAAACTCAAGGTGCAATCTAACACGATTGCACCGGTAGCACAGACTTATGCGAAGTATCGGGCTGTTCCCCAGCCGGAAACAGAAGAGCAGTTCAGCAAGTATCGTCTACGAGGCATGCACAGACAGATAAACCCTAGCTCAATCACAGGGCGCCGGCACTGGGACAGGCAGGGACTTGCATTTTGGAAAATGCTCACTTAGCGAACCCGCATTTTTGGCTACAATTTCGCTGCACTCTCGAGTTAGCCGAGCTCGTGCTCTTTCGTCAAGCTTCGTCAAGCATGTCTAGAACCAGCCTGCAAAAGACAGAGCCTACCTTTTTCCTACTGAGCACGAGGGCAGCTGAAACTGCCAGTCCGATATTTTCACTATCAGAGAGGCAGCAGCAAGCTATATGGAGTGGAACAGTCGACGCATAGTGAAACCACAGCGACAGCTGCCTGGCATGGTGGATGCCACCTCCCAGCAAGACACGAGTCAGCTTCGACCCCCTCACCTATAGGCTCGACGAAAATTGCTGGGCCAACCAACCGTCTCAAGTCCGTATATCAGAGCACGTGGTTTGAGCATGTGCCCGCCTTCGTTAGGTGATGCAGTCCACACAGCTCACTTCAGAGGCAGTGTCCTTAGCACATGCCAGATGACAAGTTTGACCGAAGGACGTTGTCCATGTCCAAGCGGCCCTGGAGGAAAAAGCTCTGAGCTTCGCCTCATCATCATTCGCCTAAAGAGCGCTACATGGAGGATGCCATGTTCATGCTTCTCATCCACATGGGACGGCCTGCATCGCAGCAAATCGCACTGAGGGCCCTACCGAATCCGCCCGCAAGTTGCTCATCTCAGTGTTGTGCATGATCACACCTTAGTGCGGGGTTGCCGGCATTGCTAAGCATGCCTCTGAACCTGCGCTGTTTCCATGCCTGTGCTTCTGGAAAGGCATCGCAGAACTTAGTTCCCGCCTGCTTGAGTCACCGCAAGTTCTCGCAGAAGCTTTCGAACATCGGTGAGGGTGGACAAGATTTGGTGTGTCCTCGGAGTGTTGGACAAAAGGCAAGATGCTCAGACTCCGTTCTGCTCTGCAGCTGTTCGGCCGCTTGGGTCAGTCAGAAGCCTAGCTCTGCAACTGCCTTTAGCCTTGGCCAGTACGGTTATCGGATCTCCGCTGCACTTCCATTTGCCAATTTGGGACCAAAGGGCTCGTGCGTGCGCAACTTGTAGAGCTGGTCCACGAACTCATCTGGACCTAAGGATCCCGGTGCCGCAGACGCTATGCCCAACAAACCGACTCATTCCGTATCCGCTTCTGAACAATGCCCGGAACCCGAAAAAGCCCGGATCCATCCCCCAACAATGCAAAGCACGACGACCTATTCACCTATTCGGCTCTTCACGTCCAGGGGCTGATGTCACCGCTGTCATCTTTGTCCAGGATCGATAAAACCCATTCCAGGTCACGTCCTCCAATGCCTTAGGCGAAAAATGCAATCTGCAAGGGCTGAAGAACAAGAAGTTCCACAAGGGGAACCTCTCCCGCGGTTTGTGCAAGTCTTGGTGAGCATAGCTTCTGCAGACTTGCATTTTTGAGCTTGGAAGTCGGAAGGTCTGTAAGCGTCTGAGTGCAGCCACAGTCACCCATGCCTTTTAAGCAATCGGCGAAATCCTGATCCTGCTCGAATCCTGGGCAGGGCTCACTGGTGCACAACTGGCAAGATTGCCGGTGAAACACTTTTGACGGATGTCCTCTGACGAATTCGGAGGGATCGATCTTGCCGGAGTTGTCCTCAGCGCCCAGTACGAATCAGCCTTCCCAATTCCCACCACGGGTCACATGCGTTCATGCCAGGTTTCTGGGTTTTTTCCGAAGAAAACGAAGTGGCAGAACATTCCGACTACTGCAAGAAGGCCCGTGCTCTTCTCCTAGCTTCCGAAGACCTCTCTTCGGAACTGTGACATCGCTATTGCTGCACGGCAAGTTCTTGTTAACTGCATCCCAGGCTCCAAGTCTAGACGCCGGCATAGTCGATAAAGCTGCTGCGTCGCTTGATTGAAATCCTGGCGCAAGCCCATAGAATTCATGAAAATCCGAGCCCCGGCACTGTACCAAGTGACCCTCAACAGGTAAGCTTCCAGTTCTTGCTAAAACTAGAGTACCTCGCTCTGCCTAAGAGAGATAAAGGAGGTCTCACATTTGATACTCACCAGATGACGCTATTGCATTGGTGAATATCAACTGCAGGGCCTTTCTTAAGACTGCTCTTTGTTGAAGAAGGCTCGGCTCTCTTCTGTCCTCTTACCATAAAGAGACGTAGAGGGCTTCCTTTGTTGCTATGAGGCTAATGCGAGAAGACAGGAGCCTGTTTATGGCTTGTTGAACGATGTAGCAGCTCTCTTAAGTTCTTGCTGGTAGTATGGAGCAAAGGAGCCTCGCCATTTGTTTGCATGAACCTAGCGTTATTTTGCTTCTTACGACGAGAGGAGCTAAACCAATGCTTTCCAACAAATGTGTTTTGGTCCTAATTCCCGCGTAGCATAAAGGCTATAGAGGTGTGCTTGTGCATTTCTGATGAGGAGAGAAAGGGTGATCTCTACTTGGTCTTTGCTTGTGTTCTTGCTGCTAGCAGCTGCTAGCACACGTAAAAAACGAGCAGCGGTTCAATTCGTGTCATGTGTGTAAGAAGCTCGACACACTTTACTTATGATCTGTTTGGAATGTGGGGGACGGAGACCACTTCTTTTCCGAAACATCAGGTTTACATAGACCACAAAAAGCACTACAAGTAGAGGTCAGTATATGCGAAGTGCAGGAACCTCGGTAAATACCGATGGTTTCTGGACCTGGGCGAAAGCATTGGGAGACGTACTGTAGACGAACAGTTGGCAAGAAGGCTGGGGTGGATCAACGCACCGGAGCGCTCCCAACAACTGCAAGGCCATGCGTTTCCCATAGCTCCTTCTCCATCTGCAGAGCACGTTCGTGATCACCTCCGCTCGCCATGGTGGTATGGTACGTATGGTACCACCGCACACATGGTGGAATCAGGTGTCGAGGCCCAGGCTGACAGATCGCGCATCCTGCGCAGAGTCGACGATGACTGCCAAAATTAAATTCAGCATCGCCAAATCCTGAAATGAGCCGTCGAGAGTCAGCATTCTACGTGTCTACAGCACTCCAAGACAGACCTGATCTTAGTAGGATTCTCTCGACACGCATACGTCAATGGAACAGCCAAGCGACGACAGAGACGATCACACCCGCAAAATAAATCAGCGTAATGGGCTCGGCTTCCAAAATTGGCAAGGCCAAATTACCCCAGCTGTCACCTGTTGCAAGCCAGCATGTTGGGTGCTAGTGATTCTGCACAAGACAGGGAAGAGGTCCCCTTCACACCGCATGCTGAAAAGAACCGTAAGTTTGCCGATGGCTCTGTTGTGCTTCTTGCATTGGTTTGTCACAGGACATAGGAAGCCGTGCTCTGCAGGCCTGCGATGACCGTCTGTAGTAGAGTCAGGGCCTTGGCGATTTAATCACAGACATCCGTGCTCTGCTAGCGGAGCATGCGATAAGCTTTTGCTTTCAAGGTGCACTTTGCCAGACGCTCTCAAACGCATGAGGACATCTCTCGCAATCTCTGTCAACCCAAATCCTGTGTGCAGGGCCAGACATGAGGGCGCAAAAACGGAAGAAGTGCTCGCACACGCACGACCACCGGTGTCCTGTAGTTGATGGGGTGTATGAGCTGTACTGCTAAAATGGCCCAAAGGGTCACCATCACGATGACCATGATGACCTGAGCTTGAGGTCAGCCCGCTCTGAATAAGCCATGGTATCCAAAATGCTGACAGGCCACACCCCAGAACACTGCGCTGAGAGAAGCAAGGAAGCCTTAATGCATGCTGAAGCCGATGCACTACACAGCGACACATGGCTGAGACAGCTTGAATTTGTTGGGCCATGTCCCAGTGCAGCCAAAGGCGCTGAGCATGAGCATGCTGAGCTCGCGGGACTTGCGAAGCAATCTCACCGCTCGTAGAATTCGGATTATTCCTTGACTTACGACTAGGAAAAGTCAACCGCTCTCCGGTGCAATCACCAATAATGATTTGCCAGGTCTCTCAAGAGCCGGACAGCAGAGAACGCGCTTGTGGCCTCCATGCCTGCCAGGCCAGAAACGGCTGCAAGCTGCAGTAGTAATGGAGCTGAGCGTCAGTCTCGCAGCAGGAAAGATACGCCTGGTATAAACCAACGTGTGGGGATGCCAAAGTCCCATGTACATACGCTAGCGGCTTGCAAGGTCTTGCCTGCAAACTCCTCGACTGCGTAGATTGACAGGTCCAAGAGTACGACAAAGGCGTCGATCAAGTGACTGGGCATGGTGAACAGCATCAGCTGGGAGGATCCGCACCAGTCGAACAGAATAGAATAGAACTACAAGAGCACATCCGCCAGCCGGCAGCCCGATCTCCCTCAAGGCAGCAGGTTCAGTCAAGTGGCAAGGCATCCAAAAAGATCTTCGACTGGTATACTGCACCTGGGACTGACTACATGAGCACAGGCGGACTACGAGCACGAGCACGGGCCAATGCTCTTGCCCAGGGTTGAGCAAGCGAGTTTCTATAGGTTCTTGCCTAGGAAGACCCCTCCTTGCTACTGGCGGGGGGCATTTGAAGAGCAACTCCAGGCTGAAAGTCGTGAGCATGATGAGGTTTGCAACCTGCCAGCAAGGCGGCGGCGAAACTAACAGCAACTTGCCGCAAAACCTGGCACGTAAGAGACCCTCCGCTGTGCCTCAACCCACGCAGGGATTTCCCTCTCCACGCCCACTGCACCAGAGTCGACCTGCGATGAAGCAGACTGGGCCATGCGAGCTACCACTTTCACACCGACATTGCGCATGGATGACCAAAAATAACCGTTACTGTAACTCCGACCGGCGTCCAGTACCACTGCAAGACCAGTGAGTCGGCATGTCACCAGTCTACATTTTGATCTATCCTCTGGATGCAGTCCTCAATGATGATGAGGCCAACATTAAACGCGATCCTGAAGCTCGTCAGAGCAGGAGCATGCAGCCGCCATGAAACACCAACTGCACTGATGTGTTTGCGCGTGCCTTTGGACATGTGTGTGTGGTCTCCGGCCGGGACACATCAGTCCGAGGATGATCTCTGCAGTAAGCGACTTCGACAGGACCGCGAGCTTGAATCCTGAACGAGGGAAATGGCCAGGAGCGAAACGCTCGTTACTATTTTCGATCATGAGAGGCTTACTTCAGCAACTACAGGCAAAACTCTTCTGGTTTGGGCTTTGCATGTGACAGAAGAGACCGAAGGCCCAACATTGCCCAGTCTCTGATTGGACTGTCAGTCGGCATTCGCGGATCCAGCATATCCGGGATTCCGCCTCAGGCACATCAACACTTGCTGTCTCGTCCACGTCTCGCCTTTACCTTTGCCATTTGGTGCTCCCTGCATGCGGAAGCAAAGCGTGCCGCATGCCCGGGCCCGTCCAGTTGTCAGGTGAGCGTCCCCATTTCGCAGACTGCTGGGTCTTCATCGCCGGTGACCTGAGCTGACGGCTGGGTGCTTGGGACCGCAGTCCGGCGCATAAGGTCAAGCCACCCCAGCAGTGCGGAGATTCGCCCCCGCATGATGCCTCTCATCTGCTGCGAGGCCTGAAAAGGCTGGCAGGCTGCTGACATTCGCAAGGTTGGTGTCTCGTGGGCCACTCACAAAGTCCCATCCGCCCAACTTCACCAAGAAACTCCGCACCGGGCCGGACAGAAGGCGGGCCCAGGGCGCGCGGCACTTCAGGCCATGGCTCTGAGAGCTCTCTTGCTAGCGGCTCTCTGCTTCTTCCGCTTTTTTTTGCAGAGCCTCGGGGATGGACGGCCGTCGGGTCAAGTTTTTTTTCGGGGGGGGGGGGGGGTCGAGAGCATGCTTGATGGGCGGCAGGTGACGGGAGGCTTCGAGGTCTTCTGATCTGCAGGCTACGATGGGCTGGGCAACTTGAAACAAATTGTACTTCATGTTCTTCAGCTTGAGGTGGAAAGGCCGGCGATTGATTGCAGGCCCAGCACCAGATCACCAGTCTCTGTGGAAGTGCAGCTGTCTGCCGATGGAAAAGCTTTGGCCACGGCACTTTGCAGAAGAAAACCCAAATTTCGCCTTCCTGGACCAGTTGACATGCGAGCTGCATCCTGTAGCCTTCAACAAAGAAAACAGGCGCACCAGGATGACTCTCTGGATGACCAGCGCCAGGAAATGGCCCCTGTCAAGAAGCACAGCTTTCACGAGCATCGTATGTCCGAAACCAGGCCCGGCGGACAGGAAGAGAAGCGCCCACAGCGCTCTGAGCAGCAGGTAGGCCCGAGGCCGCAGAAGAGGCCTACGAGATGCCAAGAGAGCCGTATGGCTGACAGGCTGAAGGATGCTTCCATAGCTCTTCCCTTAGGGACGGGCGAGGTGGCAAAAGCCTTCGGCCACTCCCAAGCTTGCCACCTGTTCAAAGCTGCAGCAAGATTTAAAGAGGACTTCACTTTACGCGCTCCCACGTGGCCTTGGTGCCAGGGAGCAGGAAACGCCCATGGCCGAGCTTGCCTTTGCAACTCGAAGCCGGCAAAAGGAGCTCTTCGGCACCTCTTGGCTTGGTGCGGCACGCTTTGGTGCCCCAAGCCCTAGCTACAGTATCCTGGAGTGGTGCAACGTCAATATCACGAAGGCCAAGGCGTCAGGAGCGACAAACAAGACAAGGCCACTTGAGAAGTCGGTGCAAGGGCTTTTGCGGCGCGGTGGTTCTGGGCAGGCAGTGATGTCTTTGGGAGGGACTGGCAACCCACCGGTATTGTGGCTCGCCTTCCTCCAACTAGCTCTGTCACAGAGTCACAAAGAAGCATGATCTTGACGGAATGGTCGAAACATAGACGTAGAAGCGGAGATGAGATATAGATACAACCTCGTAACAGAAGTGCTAAAGCTCCGTCTCATCTGCTTCGCCCACAATCCAGGGCGCAATCGCCTCATACCTCAGACTCACATGTTACGGAGACGGATACATCCCACCTCGATGCCTGGCTCTCAGAGCTCTAGAGCAGCACAGATGCAGCACAGATGCATCGAAGCGAAGTACCCCGGAGAAGGCGGCGGCACCTCGCCCGAGAAGGGCTCTTTCCCACAGGAGCCCAACACCTCTGCGTGTCTTGTGCTCTACAAACAGCCTCCCGCCTCATCAAGTTCGGGAAACTCCGGCGGATGGACTTCGGGTTCCGGTTCTTCGATGATGACCGCCTCCGCTGCTGTTCGCTTCTTTTCACTGCTTGCCGTAATGTTGACTCCATGGTCAGGATCCCACGCCCCCCCCCCCCCGGACAAAAAAAAATGCCGGAGAACGTAGTTCGAAAGCCCCTTAATTGCAAAATCGTACAAACTGTCTGGCAGATACATTGCAAAGGGCTGCTTCTCTTGAACTTCTCACCTCACATCATGTCTGATGTGCACAGAGCCGCGAAGATCGTTGCACAAAGTGCTTCAGATGACCTCGTCATCTTTAAGACAGATACTATGGCTTCTTCCATTCGACCCTTTCACTTAAATCTCAAAGCTAAGTCAGATCCAGTGCCACCTCGACATCCAGAACTGGCTCCTCGGCCCGGGCGTGACCTGTGGATTTCTCTCGCCCGGTCCGCCGGTCATGACAGCTCTCGGAAGCCACTCAGTGATCTCAGTGACTGTCTTTGTTGCTTGGCGGCCTTCCACTGACACCGGCCGCGCTGGCCGTGGAGCGGGAGGCGGCGGAGGACGCAGTGGCCGAGGGCGCTTCGGCGCCTGGGGCTTCTCTCCAAGTCTCCTCTCTTAGCCCCTAGCCCCTTCCGCCCTAGTTTCGAAAGCAGAGAGAAGCCCAGCAGAGGCGCCAGATTCAGGATGGCCAGGTCCACCAAGCACCAAAAGACGTACACGATCTTGGCACAAGCGGAGAGCGAAGCGCTTCCATGCACTGCCCTTGCATTTGTAGACAATCCGTGTCACGCGAGCCCATGAATCCTTGCCCGTCCCCAACGAACTTGAGACATCCTGTCTCTACCCGATGTGCGGCTTCCAATCCGGTTCACTTCCAAATGTGTGACTTGACCCAAACAGGATCAACCGGTCTACCAGTATCACAGTGTGTCTCCAGCTTCAACCAAAGACAAGCGTGCAAGCTACGAGTTTGCATTCTGAACGGCAACACAGGAACGGCCGATGACATGAACCTCACCTCAAGTTTGTACACTCGGTCTCCGCAAAACTTTCAAGTCCAGTCCCTTGATTTGAGCCAGGATCTTAAAGTATGCCACTTGTCGAAACTCAGCCATGGGTCAGCGAAGAAGGCGAAGTACCTGCGCATGTGCTGGAGCCAGGGAAGCTTCTTCTTTAAACGAACCTGCACTGCGCCCGCCGTGCAGGGATAACCCTGCCGCCACATGACGGCCCGTCTGTACCCCACCAAAGCTCAAGCAACAATACTACACTGCCACACCAATCTGAAAGAGCTCGCGGATCCCTGCTCCTGCACCCTAGTTTGGGCTGGCCGCCGGCCTCTTCCATGGGATGGGTTCCGAGTCCTCGTCCTCCTCTTCCTCCTAGCGGCAGCTTCGACGCCAGACAAACAGGGCTCTTTTCTGCTCTGGCCCCAAATTCGCCTCCACGGAACTGCGAGGTTGGCGTGGACCTGAGTTTGCGAGGTAGGCTGAGACTTGCGACAGGAAGCGACAGTCATGCGTTCGTGTCGAACTCCGAGGACCCGGCCTGACGGCTCTTCATTCACCGTCTTGTCAAAGCCCTGAGGCAAGAAGGCTACCGTCGAAGTTTCGCGGAGCCTGTCCGGAGATCTGCCTGCAGTGCTGCGACCTCCTAAAGCTTGCTTTCCTTGCGACCCATGCAGAAGCCCTGCGGCCACTGTAGTTGATGCTCTCGTTGCTCCAGGTCGTCCTGTTGTGCCCTGATTAGTTAACCGACGGCGTGAAGTAACCGTGCGTAGTGGACAGTCGAGGGGTTGATGTGTTACCATGACCGAAATTTCCCTACCATGAAAGCAGGCAAGTTTAGAACCTGGTGGTATGACCTCCCCTTGCGACTACTCAGCTGTAATGTGACGCCATAATAGCCATCTTAACCTCCCTCTCAGGGGGTCTGTTCCGGAGCGTGTTCTGGAGCCACGGTTGCCTAAACTGCAAGCCTTCAAACGTCAGAATCAGGACTCCCCTACACTCGAAAGCCTGGGCCCTGAACTTGCCGCAACTCCTCCCACCCCCTCGAAATCGTCTCGCCTCCCGTTCCATGCGCTGCAACTCTTGGAGAACTAAGGGATCCGTCAGGTCAAGGCCGTGCTTCTTGGCATCCTAGCAGCACATCATAGTCGGTCATAGGAGAGCGGAAGGAGCCGGGAGTTGCTGCACCGCCCCTTTCGGGGCGCCTCCACCAGCTCCGGCGGGGGGTTGGCCCAATCGATCTTCGGCTGCTCAACGCTGTCCTTCACGACCTGAAGGCTTCACGCCGCTTCCGGTTTCTCACTTTGAAGCCATAGCCATCGCCTTCTTGGCCTGCTTGATCTGATCGTTGAGCTGCCGAGCCTCGTCTTCCTGTCACGGAGGAGAAATGTCACTTTGCTTGAGACACACACACACACACGCCACACACACACACACGGACGGAGACGGTGGCTGCAGTTGTGATACAAGCTTTTAGCAGGTATCTTCCAGAGATGCCAGACTCTGAGAGACAAATGTCTTGCATGGCGAAACTGTATTGGCCACTGCGAAACAACAACTTTGAGGGTAAGGGTTTGGGCGGCCATCTTTGCAGGTACACACTTGAGCATCCTCAAGTGCATCCGCTGATTTACCATAGCTTCGTTTGGTCAGGATAAGCAGATCAGCTCGTGTTCCCTCCTGCTCCTGCTGGAAATTAGCGAAACGACGCGTCTTTCCAGAAACCTTTAGCCTAGAATCAAGGCAACACAAACACAACAACAAAAACACACACCCACACACACACACACACACACCGGAGAGAGTAGCTGAAGAAGGCATCGGACTCTGCAGCTCGCTTGCCAAGCTTTGTGGCAGCTCAAGCTCTCAGGTCTGTCGCACGCGATAGGGTCATGAGTCATAAGGGTGGTCAGCACCCTGCCAGGGATAACTCCGGCACGGCGGGCATCAAGCACCAGCCAGGTAGAGCCAAAAGGGCTTGCACGTCTGGCCGCTGCTCAGGCTGCCGCGAGATATCGCGGGATGCTCGCGAGGGTCCTGCGTTGACTCCACTCTCGCAGTTTTGCAGGCAGGGGTTGGCTCCTATGAATGGGTCTGCCTCTGTCGGGGAGTGGGAACTGTAAGTGGCCCTTATACATCTGGCGATGCTCTCAGGTTCAAATTGAGAGCTCGCACCCTCGGAGGATGGAGCTCTGCAACAGCACCGTGCAGGAAGTTGGGCAAGCATGACTTCAGACCACTCTCGCTATGGAACAAGATATAAATAAACTGTTGCAAACCTGCTGCAACTGTCAAGGGGCGGGTGGCCCTGCAGTGAACGTGTCAAACGGCTCTTCTGGTGTTTTCGACCGCTGCAAGGCTCGCGCATGCTCTCACTCCGCAATTTCAACTTGGACAGCTATGCTGCGGCAGCAAGCTGCAAGTCGACAGGCAAAGCCACGTGCAAAGACTCGGACAGCGTCACGAACGAACCGGCGATAGCCAATTAGGTCGGTATCTCTGCGCCGCGCAGTTGGCATTTCGTGGCCGGGCAAAACAGGAAAGGAGACGCTGGGTTGTGACACTATTAACTGCGGTGGGCGGGACAGAAATGCCAAGTAAGATGCTTGCGCCATCGATTTTGTGCCCACCGCACACGGGCTTTGCTATGCTACAGAGTGTACACTGCCCTCTGGAGGGCTCCAATCGTCAACTATAGTCCTCGAACATGCGTCGGCTTTGACTCGCCAGTCTCCAAGGTATCAGGGAAGCTAAGGCCAAGCCGGCCAAGGCTACCAGTAAGGCTTAACCAAACAAACTTGAAAGCTCGGATGCTTCATGATGCTTCCATACTTCTTTCACTTTCAAGGCTACTTGGGCGGTAGAGACCAGGTGACGCGACCATCCCCATGTCAGTTCAAATGCCGGCACTTACAAAACAGGGACAGCCAGCGGCCAGCGCGGTCAGCCGCCACCCGGCCTTCGGCGATGACGAATCCTTGATGGGTGCAGCGATGCCTTGCGACACACAAAGGTCGCAAGCTCGCGTGGCATCCGGACCCACGACGCCAAGCGCGGGGTTCCGCGCGGGAGGGAGGGGACGGCTCAAAGCCTCAAGGCTGCGACCCTCCGGTGCTGTACATCCTATCTACTACTACATTGGCCCGAACTGCATTTTTTACACAATCTATACACCCTCCAGAGTGGCTCCAGTTACTTCTTGAACCCACGTGAGAGCTTCCTTGGATTGCTTCAACATCTCATCCCCTCTACGATCGTTTCTATTTTCGTTTCATTTCCCAGATGGGACAAGAACGGCTGGAGCAGCAAGGCCGGATACTTAAAGCAATTCGCACTGGCGGCATGCAACCGTGACCTTTTACACGATCGAAGCCAAGGGAAAAACCTCACAAAATTTCACAAAATCATTTCGCTCAACGTTGGTGCATCGGAAGCTTACGCCGTGATGCCTGCTGGCTTCTTACCCAAGTTTTATGCTCCCAGTTGGAGAGGTCCTTCTCAATTATCACCTGGCCAAAGTATCTCTACCCCTTCGCTCCCGAGCAGACAAAAAGCCTCACAGGGGGTGACCTAGGCTTCGCCAAAAAGCCCCGCTCCCTGTAAGGCGGTCAAGAGCTTGTCATGGCCTCGCCATCGGTATACGCAACTCCATGCCAGATGCCATATCACCTTTGAAGTCTCGCAACTTCACAACGGTACCTTAATCGAGGTGTGCTTTGCTTTCAACGTGAAAAAAACCCACAGCCACGGTGACCCTCAAGGGTCAAGGCGCAGTTCTGGAGGGTCTTTCAGGAGAATAAGGCGAGCAACCTATGTTAGATCTGCAGTGAGGGCAGTGGGCACCACCACAGGCTTGGTTCTGAACGATCTTGGTGACGCAGGCTTCACAGACGGCGCCGTGCGAACACGGTAAAAGCACCATGCATCCTGGCTCGTCGAGACAGACCACGCAGCGTGGCACAACGGACTCCTGGTCGCGAAATCGTACAGGAAGTCACTAAATTGTTTATGCATTTTGGGCAACTCCTCTCCCAGGTTGCTGAGGCTCTCAGGGTCAAGATCTGTCTGCCTCGTCTGGGGAAACAATCACATCTCCCTTCAAGGCTTGGCCCAGCTGGGCTGAAGGAGGGCCCGGAGCTGGAAAGAGACCGGCATGGCAACGAAAGCAAAGTGTTCGCCGAGCTGCGCGGGCGAGGGCTCGTTCGTGGGGTCTCGCACCCCTGGAGCCGGCTCAGATTCCTCGGATGCCGCCGGCATCTCACAAGTACAAAAGCGAGATCCTGGATCTCCAGCGGCTGCCAGGCAACTCTCTCTGAGACTTCCCGCCAGAAGGCTCTGCCGGCCTTCTGGAACTGAAAGAACTTGATGGGCCCGCTTGCACAGTAGAGCAAATCCTCGGGCTTGACCTTTGCTTGCCTATGGCCCAAATAATGCACTGTGTGACCTTCTGCATGCAGGTTGCCCAGCAGGAGACGTGATTGGTTCTGCGACAACCTGAAGTCCACTGAAGGCACACAGAAGAAAGGCACCACCAGCGATGCTCCGTTACCTCGCCTTCGCAGACGAAGGAGGAGATGTTGGCCTGAACATACCTAGGCTCTTCACGAAGATCTAACTGCACGTGCGCCCTGAAGGCAGGAGGCCTTCTTTGCATCAGTTCGAGTTGAAGTTTGTCCAAGTCCAAGCCGCTGCCGGTGGTGACAGGAGCCGCACTCGACCTGAGCTCTCGAAGACAGGCAGCCCGCTGAGACTGCATGGAACTTCAAGAACCTTGCCACGGCTGAACCCTCGGGTCCGCGTAAAACGGAGAAGCGTCAGAATGATCGGCTCAATTGAAGGACCAGCGGCGACTCGGGTCGCTTGGCCTGCTCTGCGTGACAGGCTTTGCAAGACGAATCGCGGGCCGAGGATGAGCGCCTCAATGGCCGGCCGGCGTAAGAACCCCTGCAGATTCGACTCAGCTGAGTAGAGCACCAGTAGCAGGAGCACTGCCAGGACAACATAGAGGTATGTGTCGGTTGGGCCCACAGTTTCCTGTGGGGACAGCAAGAACTGCGACAGTTCGGTGGTAAGTCGCAGGCATGTTCCAAAAACGATGAACGGACAAGCAACAGCGTATGAGGGCACCGACACCAATAGGCCCAGCTCCTTCACGTCGCCTAGAGAGCTCTGGACCTCATCTCCAAGAACGGTCCAAGTCAAGCCGTCCGTGTCCATGTCCAGCTGCGGCCTCTCGCTCCAAGGCTTGAAGCTCGCATAAGCTCGCAGTCTCTGCACGATGTGGGCTGCTCGCATACTGTCTGAGAGAGCAGCATGCGGAATACCTAGCTGTCGTACATGCACGCATGAACCTGCAACTGCCAGCCTGCGTGGTGTGTGTGTGTGTATGTCAGAGTTGATTCGAAACGCGATCTCAAATCTTTGGCACTCAAGAGAGGGCAGCGCATTCAGACGCTTCCTGCGACTCAGGCTGAGTGGTATATTTTATGCCTTGCTGCGTTTGAAGCATCGAATCAAGACCTAGTTTGACGTTCTCCCCATATGAGTGCGATATTCCATCTAGACAGACCTGCCTGAAGTATCTTGTGCCCATGTGGCGTACTGAGCATGTCTTGGCGATTCGAATTGTGCAGTAGGCTGCAAATTCGCGGATCGTTCTCGAAGTTTGCAATTCAGAACCGAAGTGTTCAGAACTGCGCACTGTGTTTCTCTTGAGCCTCGCTATGCCGCTATGCTTTCCTCGCAGGTGGTGCAAAGAGGATTGAGGCTCAAGGCAAGGAACAAACAGTTGTCATGGAAGGTCATTCAACTTGTACAGTTTCAGTTCCACTACACAAAAATCCCAACGACATTTCTCAAAAAACACACCCTCGCGATGTGTGCATCCCTGCACTGTGTATTCGAAGACCACGCATCATCGGCCTTGATGTGGGGCTGGCTTGGCACCACTTGAGCCGCAAAGCGCTGCCGGTGACAGGAATCCGTTTTCGAGGCAACCGCAGCTCGGAGTCTATCAGTCCTGTCAGATCTCACACTTCCACCACCCCGTAACCCTTTAGTCCTCTCGCAGCTGCAGGGCTTCGCACTGCATGGCGGGCAAAACCCGCTGCGGTAGGCTAGGCCACATCGGCGGGACATGTGCCGGTTCTGGATGTGGCTGCTTAGATTCCGTGGAGTGCATGGCAGAGAAGGACTGCTTTGGAGCTTTGGCAACGGGCTCCGGTTGTTCAATGGCTGGTCGGTCAGCTAACCTGGCTTGAGCACGACTTCGGGGGAACATGGGAAAAAGCAGTCCTGTAGCTGAAGCACAAACCATCGAGCAGCATGTCCATTTGCCATGTTTTGCAAATTTCCCCCACACTCCCCTGAAATGCAAGAAGCCTTGCCGTTCCTAACATAGAGGTCTCGCAGGAGCTCCGCATCTTGAATACGCTTGTCAATGGGATCCTGCAGAAAACAAGACGAAGAATATGCACTCCAACTCTTAGCCAAAAGCTCTTATGCGATGCCCTTCCTGATCCGAGATTTCAGAGATCCGCTGCTCCAGGTCTTCGTAGGTGGCTCCTTGCGGCAAAGGCATCACTTGGCAGGTCTTGCGGTGACGGCGCTGTCTGCGCTCCGGTGCCTGAGGCGAGCAAGGAGCTCCCCGTCTTTGTTGAAGCTTTCGCGAGCCTCGCCTCCTGAGCCACCTGCGCGGCGTAGCATGCACTCCACCAACGGTGAATAAGAGTCACGTTGCTTCCGTGTGCCGTTAGCAGCTCATTATCCGCAGTGCTGGTTTTGCCTTGAGCTTAAAAAAATCGAACGATGTGCAGCAGTACCAGTTCAACAAGTACCAATGTCATGTGTGTCCGAAGCACCCAATACCATGATGATGCAGGATCCTGAAACCATGCTGGGACCGGGCAGTAATTTTCTAAGTTTTGGGTTTCTACATGAACGTTGCAGCGGCATTGCGGTTTGGGTTTGACATGTTCCGGCGACTCGGTGCTGCTATGGCTCACCGCATTTTCTCACCATCGCCCTTCGTTTTGGAGAGTGCGTCGAAAGGCTGACCAGCTGGACTGTGGAGCCGAGTGAAGCTCTCCGGCACCACGAGCGCACGGCTCCAGCAGTCGTAGCAAAGCCCACGTCTGGACAAAAGGGCGAGTGAGGCGGGAAAAGAAAACACTTTTGGAGCTCGTGCCGCGACAACTACACGGCACGAACTCTCGGCACATGTCACCTCTTACATCCTGCAAGTCACGACATGTTCTGGCGATTCGGTGATGCGAAACGATGGCTCACCGCTTTTTCTCACCATCGCCCTTCGTCTTGGAGTTTGAGTCGAAAGGCTCACCAGCTGGACTGTGGAGCTGAGTGACTGAACCTCTGCGGCACCACTGTGTCGCCAGCTCCACAGCCCCTTCCCCACTAAGTGGGGTCAGGAAGCAATATGATCCACCACTTGCCAAACGTCATCCAGACCATCTTGGAGCAACGCCCAGCCCTGTGGGTTTCTGGGAAGTGGGTTCGCCAAGAGGGTCAGCAAACACTGCATGCACGCCCGACAGCTCAGTTGTCCCGTCCTTGGGGCCCTGGGCTCGTCAAAGACATGCCAACCTGACCCCAAGGTGACGAAGATAGAACCCCCAGCCTGCCAGCAAGTCGCGAAGCTTTTGCGGGAGACATGCGATGTTCCTTCAGGGCCGACCTCAGCACGGCCTGCAGCTTGGCCACGCGACTCTCAGATGGAGCGACGGTGACGCCCGCATCTTCGATACCAACGATGACGCCTTGCAATTTGTTTTCGCTGTGGTGGACGTTTGGAAAACTTCGGCCGAAAACTGAAAACCTAGCAAGTCGCACGGTGTCGAAAGAACAGAAGCTCGACGACGAGGACGACGCCGGGTCAACACTCCCCACGTCATCCACATAATGAGTGACCGGGATGTGCAACAAGGTCCCGCAAAGCATCTGTGACCAATGGAACGGACACGCTGGAAGTCTTGGGCCCGTCTGGAGTCAAAACGACCACATGCCAATGAGAAGGTTGCTCAACAGGATACTGCCGATAGGCAGATTGCAAGTCTCGTGCCCAAACCAAAGCGAAATCACCTCGAGCCTGCAAGTGCCCAATGCCTTACTATAGAAACATACACCCCGATGTCATCATGCGGCGGAGTGTCAAAAGCCTGGACAGTGTCGTTGCGGAAGCCCCTGCGATAAATGGAAGTGATGGCACTGCTCTTTGATCTACGCTGGAAGCATCGTTTGCTCGCCAGTCCGCGCCACCACCGTCGTCGAGGCTGCATAGTGCCAAGGCGCGTATTGGCGATTGGCTTCGAGCCATCGCCGTTTCACATCCTGTTCCAAAGGTCCTTTCATGCCCCGTGGAGCAGCACGGCCGGCTTCAGAGCTCGCCGGAGTGGTCAAGCAGGGTATGAGGCGCCTGCTCGAGACAACGTCATCGTGGAATTTCAGGCCCTTCATCTGGCACTCCGTGATCGAGTCCTTCGGAGGGTCGATGAACAAACGAAGGAAGCCGCTCTTCGACCATCGAAGCGGCTTCTGTGTGAAGGGATTTGTCTTGATCTATGCGAAGTCCAGTCGGGACCAGAAGAGATGCGGTCGGCTTATGATCCTAAAATTAACATCAGACGAATGCAACAAGGTCGGAGATGCCTTGAGCTTCTGGCTGAAGAAGTCGACGTCCTCACGACGATTCATGACAACATTCTTCACAATGATGTGCCACTGATGTTGCGATCGGCAAGTCTCGAAAAGACGGGACATGGAGAGCCAGCGAGCACCAAAAGAGGGGACGCCCCAGAGCCATCCATCTCCCTGAACATCCCGGCGACGACGATGGTGCCGTCCTGAGCGCAGGCCCTGGAACAAAGACCTCGAGACTCGGTTGAAGGGCGTGTCAACCTCCCAGATGAACACAAGGCTCTCACTCGGACCCCGGACTGCTGAACCGCAAGCAAAGGCGGCTGAGCCCATCCCATCGAACATGGCGAGAATGATGACATCTTTGATGTGATCCAGAGCAGGCTGTCGCACTGCCATGCAAAGCCTGGCTCGTAGCCGCTCGCAATAAAGGAGTAGACTGCACGTACTTGTGAATGGCAGCACGCGACTAGCGGCCCAACAACATCACAAGATAAAGCGCCAGATGGAGCGAAATGAGCCACTGAGCCCCGCTCACTCGGGCACAACGCCCGTGAAATCGAGCCAGCTGCCGGCCGGCCTCATCGGGCCCAGACCCGCTCTGAAGCTCCCGCACTGAAAGAATCCCAAGATCGCACAGCAAAGGAACCACTTCCTGCAGCTCCGTGACCATCTCGAGTACGGCACAATTATGCTGTCTCTGGTGACGAAACGTAAACCATCGTGCAGAACAAACGCCTAGATCGTTGTTGAAGCGACAAGGAAAAAGGAAACCCAGCAAACCCGGTCCTGATTCCCCAGCCGATGTTGGATCTGCAGCCAAATGAGGCCGGTCCGAGCGGAAAGAGTGACAGTGGCAAGAAACCTCGAGCTCGCCCTGATTCGCCGAAAAACTCGATAGTCATTCTGCAGAAAGTCCTGAATCAACGAGCCTGGCCTGAAAGGATGCACTCCCCTGAGTTGCACTTTAAAGGAGTGAGGAAATCCCTCAAGGCAAACAGGTTCTCGTCTGCCCCGCAACGAAACACGCTCCAGGAGATCGTGTCGCACGGCTTCGAGCATCTTGTCGTAAACCTTGGGGTAAATGTCCTCGAGGTATCCAACCACTAACACTCTCTCTGCCTCCGAGCAGTGAGCCATGGCAGCAAGGCTCAAAAAGAAGAAAGCTTCTGGAGCTCGTGCCGCGACAGCTACACCAGAAAGGAACTCTCGGCACATGTCACTTCTTACTCTTACGTTCTGTAAGTCACGACAAAAGTGTGCGCCTGCAACCTGCTCTCTACGGCCCTCCTTTCAAGGCTCCTTTATTGTTGCGAGCTCTCAACCGAGCATCATAAGCATCATTGATTCCTCGTTCCCCGGCCATTGATAAAGCTCTTAGTAGTGGCACCCCTCCGTTTACCGACGTAAGGCGGAGTCTCACCTCAATAAATCTCCGGATTACTCCCAAACCCCCCATTCAGATCAACATGCTGGGCCATAAACGAGAAGGGAGCTTCGGAACGAGCGGGCCGGGCGGTTTTCTTCCCTTACAGAACAGGTCGAGAGGATCCAGAGTGGAAGCCATGGATGCCTGCGCTTGCAGAAATGTCATCTCGCCGCCAAGGGCCAGGGCACACTCATGAACGTTGGACCAAGGAGACAGGCCCGACAGCACGAGAGCCGCGGCAGCCGGGCTGCTGGACAGGATGCCCTATACGGAGACGGAGGGAAGTGGAGACCCTCTGGAAGCACTGCCCGCCCCCTTCTGGCACACTGACACGCACTTCTCGCCTTGTCGTAGATCTGGCCTCGATCAAACAGCCCGGTGTAGGTCTGAGAGTCCTTGTGATGCCCACTGCAGGTATCGGTGTGCAGCACTGAATTGCAACGGCTACGAAACTGGCCTTTTCTCTTTGCACCCGGCGTTCGGCACGTAGCCTCAAGAGTTTGTCTGCTCCCAAGTCTTGTCCGGGTCCCAACAAAAAGACCAGAAGCGCCTGATCAAGAGCCGCTCGATGGTCTGGTTGCTGGGATCAAGCGCATTGGCAACTGCCAGGTCCTGGTTCCCGTCCCGGGATCAATCGGGGAGCAATCCCTGACAGACGGCTCCTTGATCGCAAGGTCATGGTCGTAGGCGGTTGCCTTTGTAGGCCTGCTTGCAAGTCTCCCAGATCGGGGCAAGACAAGCTGTTTGGCACTGCCACTTCCTGCCTTATCCGCGACTCTGCACGCCGGTAGAGTGCTTTCACATTCTTGGGGTCGAGCCTCATCGGGCAAATGTGGGCAAGCTCACCCGTGGACAGCAGCTACAATGGCCATGATTTTCCATGCCGCCGTTGAATCTTTGAGGTGCCAGCTCGAGAGTCACGTCACAGGCAGTGATGGCCTGTACGGCTGCCAAGCATGTTTACGGCAGGCTGCAGGTGCAATGCGAAGCTGAATACAAGCTAGAGCATTGATAGCTTTGAGTATTGCGTGGCTCGTGTACACTGCACACCGGTATCCTCGTCAAACTTGTCCAACTTCTGCTTGCAGGCCGCCAGATTCAGTGCACACCTTAGCGTCGATGTCAATCCATGTGTGAACGGTGTGGCGACGGCATAACAATGACAGAATGCCGGGTCCCTCACAGGGCGCGGTGCTTCCGCTGCCACTGTGCGTCCTCTTCTGTGCTGCCCATGTCGTCCACTGGCGCAGGAATGGCTGCCGCAAAGCGCAGAGTCTGCAAGAGCAGGTTGCCTAGCTTCAGGACATCGTCATCAATGCCGCGGTTGTTCTTCCGCCAGTTGGCATCAGTGCCTAGGCTTTTTGGATCTGGGACGAAAGACTTGTTACCAACCCCTACAAAAGCCCCATGTCAGATCCAGTTGCTCCAGTAGTAGTGGACCAGTGATGCGGCCTGTAAGTGCACGTCAAAGGTATACGAACTCAGAAATGCAAAGCTTTCCTCGGCCCCGCACTTCCTCGTACTTCTCTATTGCATCCATCCAGGATCCCTTCCTTGGAACAGATTTCCTTCTTGGGCTGAGTCAGGAGCAGTGCAGCGGGGCCAGATAGCACAAGGAAACCAAGCCCAACACTTGAAGAGGTCATTGCCTTCTTCTTTCAGCCTTTCGGTAAAGAAGTCTGTCACATCAGTCATGCTTCGAGCACAGGATCACAATAAGAGTCGCCTCTCGGAGATCACCTTCTTCTCATCAAACGGAAGCTGCCTCCAAGCCTTTTGAAGTGCTGCAGACAATGCGGAAGCTTACTTCAGTCTCTTCAGCCTTAAAGTCCTCCTTCTCTCCGTGGAAGAGTGTGTGTTGCACAAAGAAGGGTCTCGTCCTGTGCAAAGGATCATCGCAGCCAACACCACAAGCCGTGAGCAGGTGTGCTGATAAGACCATGGCTCGTAGGTCTTTCGCTTTTCGTTCATCTGGGCAGATTTCAGCTTGACCTGAGCAGAGGTGCGTCTGTGGCATTGCTGCTCCTGCCTTTTCCACATGCCCCCGCTGGGGTTCTTTTACGGACATTCCGGTTGCGAAAAAGACGAGTGGTCTTGCTTTCGTTCCGACGACTACCACCCTTCGGGAACACACCTCACATGATCTCTCAGTGGATTTCTGACTCCTCGTCGTGGATCTTGGAGTGAGGCTGCCTGTTGCAGGATGTTCCCGATCCTGGGCACAAACTAAGTCAGTCATGAAGCACGTTAGTGTTACATACATAGCTGCACATGCTTCAGCAATTCCTACCGTTACAGATACTCCGTACAGGCAAGATAGAAAAAATCATCGTAGCAGCTACACGAATCGCATCAGAAGCATTCGTAGCATTGCCGAAAAGTAGTATCAGCGATTCTTCATAATCCACCGCGGCAACAAAAGTCAACTTCGCTCGGCTGAGGAGCTCGTTGTCTCCGCTGAACAGCGACATGGCGACACCGAAAGAGCCTGAGCAGATGGAGTGGATCCTTGAGCGATGCTGGTTCCATGGATTTTGAATTCAAGACCAAGCAGACACCGGACTTTGATACAGGTCAGATGATCTTCGAGTCTCTATATAGTCTATATGAAAACATGCATATACCTGCACGAGACAACGAGAGAGGACTCCCACCTCTGAAAAGCCTCGCAGGTAAATCAGATATATCAACGCAGCGTTTTGCCGCGTTTCCAAACGACCCTAAGAGGCAGATGTGTTTTGGATGTGACGGCGCTTTCAGGGTTCTGGTTAGCTGTACTGCACGGACAGCGCCGCACAGTGAGGTGTCTGGCGGCTTGTTGGCTTCTACACCTAAACAAAGATTTGCTGAATGCTGACAAGGCGTGTGTACTGTGCTGGGTGGAAAAGGTTCGTTCAAGCACCTTGAGATGCAACAGCTTCGGCTAGTTCGCGCTGAACGCTTGTCGAGACTGCGACGACTCGCTGCGTCACCCCGATCCTGGTCCTCAGGTGTCCAAATGTGTCCGGAGTCCCCCTAGGTCTTGCTTCGGTGCACTCTGGCGCTCTTCCTGTTGGCATAGTACGAATTCTTGCTCGACGAAGCTGCCTTCGTGCAGCAGATAAATGCAACGCGCTGGCCCATGGGCCACATGCAGTCCCGAGTAAGAGATGCTTAGAGCGGATTCCGAGTGCAGGGTCGGAACTATGAGGATTGTGCTGAGATCAGTTTCCAATTGCACCTCCTTCGCACAATCGCTAGCACTGTACATGGTGCGACTCAGGCACTGCGACTGCACACGCTCAGATCTGAAGGTCTGAGCATCAACCGGCGCTGGCATGTGCCAGGTAACTCGCTGAATAAGGATCGCATGACCGGTCGCCGACGAAGCCTGGGCGGCTGGGGATTCAGAGTCGAGCTGCAGCTGTAGCCCATTCTAGGTGTGCGATTTCAGGAGGCCCCTTCTTATGAGAGGGTTCAACCCTCCTCGCCCACAGCAACTGATGCCTGGACGACCTGCTTGTCGTGAAATGCCTTCGTTTGGCCTGAGACGTAGCAAGATCTTTGCGGGCACTGCCAGCAAAGAGGCCCAAAGCCACTGAGAAGAACTTGAGGGACCGAGGCCACGGCTTGGGTGGCACGTTTTCTCGACCACGCTGGTCTGGAGCCAGCATCGCATGGAAGAGATCCCTGCAGCTGGCGCCGAGAGCGGCAAGACTCGAAACCAAGAGCCGATGAACAGAACTGCCCGCAGTCTACAGACCAGGCATATTCCCGACCTTGCAGAATCGAGCTGGGACCGCCGTCGGTCCTCCTTGGCCTCCCACAACCGGCGGACTGGAAGGCATGATCTCTAACATCGCCAACTTGAGCAAGCTAGTACGGCTCCTCGGTCCCTGCTTCGCTTGACCTCTCTTGCAGCAGCCCCGGGCCTGCTGTTGTCGATCTTGGGCCTTCATGAAGCCGGTCTATCGACACACGCTCTCGGATCAACTCTCCAGCCTCCACTCGCGAGCGGCGTCGGGCATCTATCTCGTCCTCCCCGGCGACATGCAGACATCACATAGTGTCCCACAACAAACGTGGGACAACTGCAGCTCCAGTTTACAATCGTCAACAAGATGCCAAGGCTCTTACGGACATCCGGCGGTTGTCGTCCAGGATGTGCCGCAGCTCGGTCTGAAGAATATCGAAAACCCTAGAGCGATGGAGTTCCAAATCCAATCATAGCTCCTGCCTTCAGCACCTCGACCTCGGCCTTCAGCCCAGCCACGTCCATGGCCTCCTTGCGCATCCTGGACAACATGCAGGAGATGAATGCACCCCTGCGATCCGGTCACCGGATCAGAGCACCTCTGCACCTCCTCGCGCAGGGCCAAGAGCTCTGACCGCGGGCACACACCTCGGATCAGCTACTTCTTGTCGGCTTTCGACGTGCACGGCAAGCAGTTCCCATGGATGTCCAGGTTGGCGAGTTTACCAAACACACATTACAGTAGACAAGCTTGTTCTGGGCTGTACGAAGATGGCATTTCTATGGAGCTGGCAATGCGGCATCGTAAGGACCAGGCGCACGGGCATCGACACTCGCTCGATCCTGGTAAATCTGACGCAGCACTCAGTGCGGACCTAAACGCACCCCGGCCTCCTGGGCAGGGGTCCATTGCATCCTGCATCCAAGGCACAGGCGCAAGATGCACGCCAGGATGTAGGGACCGAGCAGGGCCCGTGCCTGGCACTCGCAGGGTCCCCGCGGCTGCCGCCACGCTGCAATCGCTGGAACTGCGAGGCATCGATGAAGGCCTCCAAAGAGCAGCGAGCTTTCAGCGGAGCTGCGCATGTTCTGAGCTGCAGCAATCTCTGGGCCCGCTGCACTGACACAGGCCAAGCCAAGTGCTGAATGGTCAGGTTTTTCCTGAGTATCAGCATCTTCGGGCTGTTCCATACGAGCACTCGGAGCCTGCTTTCGCGACTTCTTGATGCAATTGCAATAAACGGCCTCCAACTGCCTCCAATCTACAGACTCCCGCCAAGCCAAGCCTGGCATTGGAACCCCCCAGCATCAGCTGACGCTAACTAGTTGACGCAAAACCAACGGCAAGCAGCAGGCAGGAGCTTAACTATATTCTGCGTCTGAACCTCGCAGCTTCGAAAAGTCTAACATGCCTCGGATTATGGCATAATCGCTACTTGCGCCTGTCGCCGCCTTCGAGACCCGTCCGAAACATGATCTCCTCAAACCTGGCAACAGGCCCTTGGCCACACGCCCTTCAGCTCCCGCAATAAATCTGGTCGCTACATTCATGCCGAGCAAGGATCTGCGGCGTTAGCATGATGCAGGAGGCGCGGGATGGCGCGGCTCGGGACTTCGACTTCGGACAGGACCTCCTCTGGTGTCGTGGTTCGCATATTTGTCATGCAGACGGCTTTCTGACTCAGACGATGCAGCCGTTCTAATGAATCCAACTAGACTCTAAACGTCTTACCGTGAGCTTGTTGTGATAAAGACCCATCTATTGCGGGTCTCTTCGTTACTATTGCTCCGGCTATCGCACAATGGCTGCGGGCATGATTTGCTGTTCTCAAGCTGCCAAGTTTAGACCAAAGCAGCCATGCTCAAGAGGATCTGAAGGGCTTCCCCACTCTGAATTAGGCGGAAAATTGATCCCTCCTCCAAACGCTCCAGCCTCTTGCTTCAAAGTCGTCACTCGCTCGCTTCTTTGTCATGCTTCGGACGATGGCACACCCACATGGGCCACGCTAAGATACGCCAAGGCCATGAGAACTCTCATGCGGGCATCTCTTCGACCTTCTCAACCTCTGGGACCTGCCAGTGAGACTACGTGACACCTCGTTTAGGTTCCTGAATGCTTCACACTGATGCTTGACCCTTTCCGGCCGGCCTTCATTAGCAGGTCTGTGAGTCGGGCATCCTTCGCCTTTCCTGTTGTCAGGATGATCTCAAGCATCTCCTGCTCACGATCAGGTGCCACGAAAGGGGTCGATTCCGCTTTTGCCAGGTCTGCCTCTTCCAGCTTCTTCATCGAGGACTTTGCATCTGCAAGCCTCTCCTCTGCCTGACTGGAGAATCTTTTCTAAATCGTCAGTTCAGCTTGCCGGAATGTAGCATGCAAGAGAACGGACTCACCGTCAGATCAACGCCGTTACTCTCCGCGCCAAGGGCCAAGACGGGGGCCTCTACGTAGGCATCTGTTGCTCTCTGCATGGCGTCCTTCTTTGAAGACACCTCGACTACTATGAAGGCGGGCTACAGCTCCTCTTCGAGCAGCAACCAATGCAGTAAATCCACCCGCCTCGCGTTCGAGTGTTCGCACGGCGCGCCCGCGCGACTCGATAGCTGTGCGTAGGTCCTCCGGGAGTTTGGACACGAATCCCCGGCGGCGGCTCTTTGGCGGTCCTGAACGCGCTTCTGTTCCGCCTCGGTCCGGAGAGGCAGCCCCAACCAGAGGCAGCCGAGCACGGAAAGCGAGAAAGGCAGCGGCCAGGGAGCAGCCCGTCTTGAGCTCCTGTTCCAGGCCGGCAAGCCTTCTTTCCTGTGCAGTGCGCTGCGCAGTGCGGCTCTTGCTATCTTGAGGTCACACGCAATGTCCTCTTCCAGCAGCTGCAGCTCCTTCTCCCGCATTTGCGCCTGGTTCCAGTTCAAAGCGCACTGAAAGCACCAAGCTGTAGTAGCTGGCCTGCAGTGCTGCCTTTCGAGCTTGCACCTGCTGCTGCTCCAGCCACGGCCGTCACAAAAACAACACAACTGCTCAGCAGCTGAAGTCGGGCCTCGCCTCGTCTCGTGCTCGCACGATCGAATCACGAGCCAGCTGCTCCTTTGCACGAGTCGCCTGCCGAGCAGCGCGGGCTTGCGAAGTCAACGGACTCCCTTTTGCCAGCCTCGTCCACGGAGCGCGCAACCTCCAAGACGTTCAAATCGCGGCCTTCAAAGCAAAAGCCACAGGTCCGAAGGCCTCTAAAGTCTTGCGCGGCCTTCACCCATGATTGGTTCAAATCCCTTACCGTTCCCGATCTCTGGGCTCCGAAGCCTTCCGTGGCACCTGGCAGTCCTGGTTCCGGTTCTGCTTGTGCTCCTGCTCAGGGAAGCATGCAAGGACGTCTCATGAGCATGTGGCCAAGAGGGGCCTGCAGCAACTTTGTCGCCTGGAGAATCGGCTGATGCGCCTTCGATACAAGATAAAGTCGCACAAAGCAAGCAACTAGTGCAAAGGCAGCACACTGTGGAAGGAGAGCCCTTCCGACTTCAAGCATCCCTCCAGACATGGGATCTACAAGCTGCATGCTGCCAATTACACATAGGCCAGGCTTGCCTGATGCAGTTTCGGCGTCGCTTGCTTCGACTTTTTCCGGACCTGCGGTGTGCTGACATCCGTCACACAGCGTCGCACACAGGCCCACAGCTCAGTCCGTGCCTGCACCAAGCTTCGTGGCAGACGAAGCATCTGACGTCGAGGACTCCTCCTGCACCTGTCTAGCAGAACGGAACGGACCAGTAACAGCTGTTGGAGCCGCATCTTCCTCCCTAGGGTGAACGACACAAAGCTAAACATTCGCTACTTCTTCTCCGGATCATGACTGACGCGCCCGCAATGGCACAGCCGCTTTCCGTGAGAGGGACACGAAAGTCAAGTTGTGGTGCTTAGCCGTGCCCCCCAACAGGAGAGACATGGACGCAACCTCCCGTCCTCATTATTTGTTCTCCGCTCTCTTGATATTCACTTCTTTGAGCTCTTGCACACTGCCAAGGCATTCTCAATACGAAGATCTCAATGACAGCCAGGATGATGCAACGAAACCCCTGCAATTTCAATAGCAGAGTTTAGGGGGCCCTCCGTGCCGTGCCCGTTTGCGATTAAGTGAAACCGCATTTCGTCTGTGATCATTAACATAAACCCCCGCACAGCAACTACTTTGAGCAAAACTCCAAAAACTGCTGAGAACCACCTCCCGGGGCGTCTATGGCATCATCCAGCAAAAGAAGCAGTCGCACAAGTCCGAGTATGCCTTTTGAAGTCTCTGCATCGGCGGTTTCGGTCTCTGCTTGGCGCCTTGATGCGACCAACAAAAAGCTGGGCAACGCTGACGACCCTAGCAGCCGTGGAGGCCGTGATCTCAGGCGACGTCCTGTCGCCCGCGACTCTTTCGCGGACAACCTCGGCACCGGCTGACTCACACAAGAACCTCGAGTGCGAGGACTCTTTGTGTGCATCTCTACCTTCCTCTGGATTACCCTAAACACTCGGATGCGACCCAGTCTTTTCAGGGACTTGTCGCACATCATGCCTATGAAGGCTGCACGATTCGCCTTTCTCACATGTGCCATCACTGCTCATGCTCATCACGATTTGTTCTCAGCACATTTCAATTCACTCAGGGTCAACTTCGTCTACAAGTGATGCGAAGGTGAAATGCCCTCATGACGAGAAGCGATGACATGATGCAGAAAGCAACTGAAGAAAAACACAAAACTCTGCTCTGTTCATGTTGATTCGCAGATGTGCGGACTGTGCAGTAGCTACAGTGCCTGTTTCCCGACATCACGTTTCAAGACTGCGGCTTTGGATAGGCAACTGATCTCATGGAAAATCACAGCGGCTCCCGCTTATCTCTTTTCGGACAAACAGACATGTCTTGATTCTATGCCTCAATATGGTGTGAACCCCTCCGTCTGAGATAGCTTGCGCAACACAAGAACGAACGAACAAGCGACTGATTGTTGACAGTCATTCTGACGTCACTACATGACTCGCACAATGCTGGAAGTAGTGACATATTGTCGGCTGGCGACCGTCAAGCCCTGCACAGAACAGAACTCCAGAACAACTAGGCTGATCTATGTCAATGTTGCTCATCGGCGAATCAAGATGATGCCAGCTAGCATTTCAAGCATTGGATGTAGATAGTGTGAGCTACGGTCTACCGGGAGGGGTCAACACTGCGTTTGCCCCGCCGATTTGCTATTCGCTTCCCCATCAAGCCAGCTCAATGAGGGAAGAGACTGGCTGTGATTTGCAGAGCTTCTTTTCTCACGTCGCTATCTTCAATGCCGAAAGTAGTATTAAGCACATGAATTGCCTCACTTTCGGAGCAAACCTGTGCAGTTGCAAACGGTCGCTCGACACAGCTTTGACACTCCCAGAGCCAGATGTAGGCGCTACCTGCAGCAACCAGCGCACCCGCAGCTGTTGCACCTCACATGCGTCAATCACCTGCTAGCAGTTTTTTCTTTGTGTGCGAGTCTGCCCACCTGGGCTTCATCCAAAAGTCCAGGCTGCAGAAACCCCTTCGCGTCCAACGTCGCCTAAGAACTCTGCTGGATGCATCTTCTACATCAAAAAGCAGGCCTTGTCCAAGCTGCATCATTCTCAATCATGTCCAAGCGGCCAAGAGCACTGAGCAAGCAACTGCCACATTGAAAGAGACACACCTGATCGGTCGTTCAATGAACGAGATGCTGCAAGAACTGCCTGTCACCAACTTGACGGTCCCACATTCCGTCGGTGGGAATAATGCAGGATCCGTCGACGTAGCGCTGCACTTCGCGTGAGACGCCCGCAAACCTTTGCACAGGCAGGAGGGCCCCCCCTCTCGAAGGTGGCTGGGCTGGGCATTGGCTCCCCGTACATCCAAATATTGAACTTGTGAGCCAAGCAGCTCCGAGCCCAGCACGAAAGCCAGCTTCTGTCTCTCACGCCTCAGCGACTCAGTGGCGCTCAGCTTCCGGCCTCGGCTTATCTGTGCCAAGGGGCGGCATGAGCGACCTGGTCTCCAGTAGCTCCTCAGAGGCAAAGAGAAAACAAACACAGAGGGCATGATCTCAGCCTCTCAGCCCGCAGGGCCGCCTCGAGCGGCTGGCTGTTCTCTGTCAGGGCGAGGCTCCACACCGCGAAGCCTTCCGCCCGCAAGGCCTTCGCGAAAACTCCACGAAACTCCCTGCGAAAGTTGCAGTGGGTATGCCTTGATGCCTCGATGCACGATGCCGCAGTTCGCCAGCGACGGACGAGGATCCACGGCTGAGCCTCTAGAGCCTTGCACGATGCAGAGGCCGTCCGTGCAAACGCGATGCGAGCCACCAGGTCTCACCCGGGCAAAGGAGTCGTTGACACTGGCGTCTCGTTCCTTATCCTCGGTGGACTGGCGAACTCTTCTAAACCCTGAAGCAGTTGACCCACCAAGAACCACAAACTTAGCAGAAGGCATCCAAGTATCTATCAGCTCCAGGCGCAGTAGTCCAGCCGCATCCATCGTCCTGCGACTCGAAAGCTGCGAAGCTTTGACGCTTGAGCCCTCCTGGCCTCAGAATGGTCCACGCATTGCTCAGATTGCAGGGCCCGTCCAAGACCAAAGAGATGTCTGCAGACTTCTGCTTCAATATAGACTCGACCTGCAAAATGAGCATGCGCGAGCTGCGGAACGAGGCTCAGCAAAGCTGGCCTGGTTGCTCCAGGAAGGCCCCGCCAGCTTGGCCAAGGCGGCGGCTGCACGAGAGCCTCTTTAGAGCGCTTTACTGCAAAGTCCGGTGCATCCGGCACATCCACGCCTTGCGCTCGGCTCACCTTCGCCAACCTTGGCTTCACAACATGCTGTGAGAGAGCATGCTGCAGAGTGCCAACAAAGTACACGCCGGCCCCCCTGCAGCCTAGGCTCGCGTGCCAGGCGCGCTGCGTCAGGTCGCTTCGGCGCTTGGCTGCTGGAGCTGCTGCAAAACCAGACGGGACGGGATCGTGCCGACGCCGCTGCGTGTATCCTGGGATATCACGAGGTTTTCGGAGCCTACAGCGATCAGTAAACATCGAAGGCTTCAGACATCTTCAAAGCAAGACTCGGAGACCCCACTCTTCCCAAGTCCAACGTTCCCAGGAGGACAGGTGCCCTGGATCGCCCAGCGATCTCACTCGCAAACGAAAGCCCTCGGCTGAAGCTTTGAGCGAGAGTGCATGTGCAGGTCTTAAAGCAAAAGTGCTTCATTCCATAGCGACAAGTGTTTGCTTGATGGCAGCTGGCGCGCTCTCCGCAGACCCACAGCAATCACCAACGGCCAAGCTGGACGGTCTGCTTCCCGAGGCCATGGTTCAGGATCTCCTCTTGCAGGAGCATGCCAGACAAGCATGAATTGTCATTCAAGTGAAGGACGCGGAACCAGGAGTGCAGTGTGTAAAACACGGAGCCGCAGCGGCGAGCCCTGAGACTTATCACAGCGCGATTGTCCAACGCAGGGCAGCTGAGTAGACCGATACACCAGTGGTTCAACACAGGAGACGCATTTCCTTCCGCAAGGGCCTGAACATTCCGAAAAGGGTGGAGATTTTTTTTTGACCTGTTTTTTTTTGCCTTTTTTTTTTTTGGGGGGGGG